CACTCCAGTCTGGACAGAGTTAGACTCCAACTCAAAAAAATAAAATAAAATAAAATAAATGAGATGAGAGGTATACAATAGCCAAATAAAGAGAAGCTTCTCCATCACCCTCCCTCACCAAAATGGGACAGACAGCCCTTTATGCACATGCGCTATGATCACTGTCATGAACTGAACTATCCTTCCACCCAAATTCATATGTTGCTGCTCTGACCCTCAATGTGACTAAATTTGGAAAGAGGGCCTATAAGAAAGTAATTAAAGTTAAATGACTCAACTAGGCAAAGTGGGGACCAAAAGGAGGCCCAAATTTTACCTGTATGATGACCACTTGTATACCTAATCCTGAATTGCACTCCACATCTTTAAAAAAAAAAAGTTAAATGAGGTCATAAGGGTGGAGTTGCTGATCCCATTGGATTAGAGTCCTTATAAGACGAAACATCAGAGCTGCCCTCTCTACCTACTCCAAAAGAAGGGGTCATGCAAGCACACATGTGAGATGGCAGCTGCCTAGAAGCCAGGAGAAGAGGCCTAAAAATAAAACCTACCTTACCAGTACCTTGATCTTAAATTTCCCAGTCTCCAGAACTGTGGTATTTTGTTATGGCAGCTGGAGTAGACTGATAAAGTGTATTCCATTCTCTGGAGCACTTTAAAAAAAAGGGATTTCTAATCAAACCTTACCATGAGAGCTGGGCTCAAGCTGACAAAGAAGCTGTAGGCTTACTACTTGGGTGTGGGAAACCAGGGGGAACTTCGATGGGCAGTGAGTGCTCAGCCTCCTACTAACACCTGCCAAGCACTAGCAAGCACCAAACATACAAAGATAACACAAAGGCATGGGCCCTGCCTTCAGGGAGCTCACAGTCCAGGTGGGGTGGCAGTTTTAGAAACGACAATAGAGCTGTACCAGTTTTCCATGTGCTACTGTAATAAGTTACCATAAACTTAGTGGCTTAGAACAACACAAATCTATTATTATGGACCCTACTGAGCTAAAATCAAGGTGCTGGCAGGGCTGCATCATTTTCTGGAGGCTCCAGGAAAGAACACGTTTCCTTGCCAGCTTCTACATACAGACTGCCTGCTTTCCTTGCCTGTGGCTCCCTTCCATCTTCAAAGCCAGCTATGGTTGGGTAAGTTTTCTCATATTCCATCATTCTGACACTGACTCTTCTGCTCCCTCCTCCACATTTAAGGGCTCTTTGGGTAACATAGGGCCCACCTCAATAATCCAGAATAATCTCCCTATTTTAAGGTTGGCTGGTTAGCAGCCTTAATTCCATCTGCAACCTTAATTCCCCACTGGCACATAATGTAACCTATTCACAGGCTCCAGGGATAAGGATGTGGACAACTTTGGAAGGCCATTATTCTGCCTACCAAAAAGTGATACAAGAAGCAGTGATAAGCCAGGCTCGGTGGCTCAGCCTGTAATTCCGTGCCTTTGGGAGGCTGAGGTGAGTGGATTGCCTGAGCCCGCGCGTTCGAGACCAGCCTGGGCAGTGAGACCTCATCTCTACAATAAATCAAAAAATCAGCTGGGTGTAGTAGCGCATGCCTGTAATTCCAGTTACTCGGAAGGCTGAGGAGGAAGGATCGCCAGAGCCCAGCAGGTCGAGGGCTGCGGTGGCCGGAAGCGGCCACTGCACTCCAATCTGGGCGACAGAGTGAGACTCTAACTCAAAAAAAAAAAAAAAGAAAAAGAAAAAGAAGCAGTGATAGATAACAATTATGTAATATACATGTCACAAATAATTATAACAATTCTTTCTCTATATAACAATTGTAACATGCCCAGTACTGCATTAAGCACTTTAAAACATAAGCTCAATCAAACCCTATGGATACTGTTATTCTTATTTTACAGATGAGGAAATTGAGGCAGAGATGTTAATTAGCACCCCAAGGTCACCTAGCTAGTAAATGGGAGCTTCAACCTAAGTCATGTGGCTTCAGAGATTGCCCTTAACCACTACACCATTCAGCATCTCAAGAAACAGGGTGTCTTAGAGGAGTCACTTACCTAAGAACAGGACTAAGCACTTTCATTTCTGGAGTTCGTGAGCCAACTTAGCTACACTACACAGATAACTGCCAATATTCTGACTCTTCTTTGGTCTAGTGTCTGCAATCTATATGAGGAATTAATAGTCTATGTTTGATTGAGAGTCACTTTGATCAGGTCAAAAGAAGAATACATTCAGATGTACAATAGTCTGTGGCTGAAAGTGCTCAGACATGCAAAATGCTGGTGAAGCACAGATAACTCGGTACCTGTCTCTGAGCAATTTGTGAAACACATGTTCCGAAAATATCAAAGGAAAATACCAAAGTGACCAGCCATTCCTCACTCCAAGCATGACTGCAGAAGGCTGGAAACAGACTAGAGGGTGTTTGAAACCAGTGCTTCTAACTTAAATTGTATACAAGACACCCATGGATCTTGCTAAAATGCAGATTATAATTCCATAGGTCTAGATAAAGCTGGAGAGTCTCTTTCTAACAAGCTCTCAGAAGATCCTGATGCTGCTGTCTGTAGGCACACTTTTTTTTTGAGTTGGGGTCTCACTCTGTTGCCCAGGCTAGAGTGCAGTGGCATGATCATGACTCACCAGAGCCTTGACTTTCTGGGCTCCAGTGATTTTTCCACTTCAGCCTCCCAAATAGCTGGGGCTACAGGCATGCACTACCATGCCTAGCTAATTTTTTTTTTGTAGACACAAGGTCTCGCTATGTTGTCCAGGCTGGTCTCAAATTCCTGGGCTCAAGTGTAATCCTAAAGTGCTGGGATTACAGGAATAAGCCACTGCACCCACACTATAGGCACACTTTTGAGCCGCAATGTCCTTAGACTGCAATGTTACTTTCCCACCAAAAATCTACGGTCATCATTTATTTAAACACTAATTGTCAAATGCCACCAGGCACTGTGCTAAGTGCTGAGGATAAACAAAACAGGGTCTCTGCTTTTAAGAAGTTCACAGTCCAGTTAGGACTCTAGTAAGTTTCTCTGAATCTCACAATTCAAGGGCGATATTCAACACAAATGAACTCCATTATAGAACTACTGCAGAGTGAGAGCACTTACGCAGGTTGTGCTGGAAGCAACAATAATGTTGAGATGAAGACCTCTATTCAAGGACTCAACAGATGACTCAAGCTATGATAAAACCAGATATTTCTGAGAAGCAGAGTGGGTGAGGGACAAAACTGGATGACAGGGAAACTTCAAAGCCAACAAAACCCATAGACATGGAACCATACCTGTACATCACCTCTGGGTCCCCCTCTTCAGTATGGCAATACTCATTAAGACTTCCTAGAATTAACAAGAGCTGGGTATGAACAAAATCTGTATAAAGAGAGCAGTCAAGAAAGCAGTGCCTGATGTAGCCAGATGTTTTGGATATACTAAATATTAAATTTAGTATAAATGTGGGCTCATATCAAAGCCCACATCCTTTATGTCGAAGGAAATGAAAATCCAAACGAGTTGCAGCAGTCGTTCTCAACTGGGGCAATTTTGCCCAATAACCTTCAGGGAATATTGGCAATATCTGGACACATTTTTGATTGTTAGAACTGAAGTGCCACTACAACCAAGAATGATCTGTCTCAAAATGTGAATAGTGCTGAGGTTAAGAAAGCATGAGTTAAGGATTTGCCCCAGATCACAAAGTGAGTGTCATACCACAGATTAGAGCAGTCCAACAGAGCATTCTGCAATAATGGAAATATTCTATAATCTTTGCTGCCCAATATGGTAGCCAGTAGCCACTGTGGCTATTGAACACTTGAAATATGGGTAGTGCAACCGAGAGACTAAATTTGAAATCTTATTTAATCTTTAATAATTTAAATTTAAATAGCCACGCATGGCCAGTGGTCTTACTGAACAGGGCAGAACCACAGTCGACTTTTCCTAACTCCAACTGGTGTTCTTCCAGTTTCAGAGTCTGCTTCTTTCCACTCTTCTGAAATCATCCATCCATCTGATGCCATTGCTAAGATTTGACTGGTAAAAGATCACAAAAGGGCTGAGCTCGGTAGCTCAGCCTGTAATCCCGTGCCTTTGGGAGGCTGAGGTGAGTGGATTGCCTGAGCCCGTGGGTTCGAGACCCATCTAGGCAACTTGGCGAGACCTCATCTCTACAATAAATCAAAAATTAGCCAGGCGTGGTAG